TATATGTGATTGTTTAGGGGTATCATTGTGTATTGAATTCACATTCGTCCTTTAGTTCATTACAGCCCGTAAAATAAATTTATGTTTCAAGCTTTTGGATTTTGGACACCGACCAAACTGTTTTTAATTTCTGCGTGCTTATATATTTATTTATATCTTCTATTGTATGGTGAAAATTTTCATTACTATTGGTGAACATAAACATCATCAAGTGGAGCGCAGAATAAGACCATGTTAACCATATTTAATTACTATAACTCGATCTAAAACTAAGCTTTTATTTGTAGTTATATGCAATATGCTCAAGAACGTACAAGAGGTACATAACACATGGTTGTTTTCGATCATTCTAAAAATATAAAATGATCGAAAACAATATGTACTTTCAATGTATAATATATATATATATATATATATATCCTATTCACTTATTACTTAACGGAAAAAAGAAGAAAATATTATGGTTAACTGCTTCTAATACCTTCGTGGTCTAAGTGGTAGGTTGCACAATGTTGTCTTTGGAAGCTCAGTTTGGAGCCTTTGCACCTTCTCTTAACGTTCTTGTCATACCACAAAAAAAAAAAAAAAGCCTTATTTACTCCGTATTAACAACAATCAAAACAATTGTGAATTGTCCCTCAATTCATGAGTTTTAGGTGAAAAAATTAAAATAAAAAAATCACTAAATTTCAGACCTAATTCAAGTTAAAAAAGGAGGAGGACACCCCCTGATCCTAATACCATAAAGAATCCTTGTATTAAAAGGAATAAGGAAGTTGGAAAGAAATATAGTAGTAACATTGTTACCATAAATCAGGATATCTTACGTACCAAAAACTATTTATTGGAAAAAAGAGAATCCAGAAGCTGTGTTTGGGTGTACGTAAAATTCATTCTCTTTGAAGAAGGCTAGGCCTGGCTAGTTGAGGAGGTATGGGTAGGAAGACGAAGAGGGAGAAGAAGGGAGAAGAGTTATCACCAATCCTCCCGCACGATCTCACAGTCGAAATACTATCAAGACTACCAGTGAAGTCTATTGTACTATTTAAGTGTGTATGCAAGTCTTGGCTCACCATGTTCGCAGATTCTCAATTTATCAAGCTTCACCTCACACGGTCTAACAACTCTAAACTCGTCCTCACACATTCGTTTAACTTTCTGGGATATCTTCCTCCTCCAAGTCTCTGTGTGTCGTCTTGCAGTGGTATGGTTGAAGATCAAGGGAGTACTAGGATTGACGTTGATGGAATTCACATCTTAAATGATGATCATATGTATGATAATGATGATGATGGTGATGGTTATGATTATGATTATGATGGTAATCATAAGAATGCAGGGATGATGAGTATAGACGGATCTTGTCGTGGCTTGGTGTTATGCCATTTTACCGATTACCACACGTTATACTTGGTGAATCCGTCAACTGGAGAAGTGTTTAAATTGCCAGACTCACCATTTAAAAATTCTGTTGATGTTGCATCTTTTGGACTTGGCTATGATACATCCCTTGATGACTACAAGGTTTTAGTAGTCTCATTATGTGAAAAAAAAATCAGTTTATATTCACCAAGATCAAATTCATGGGGAAGGGTTTCAGATTTTCCTTTTTCATGTGTGTTTAATTCAGCAGTGTTTTTGAATGGCAAATTCCACTGGTTCGATGAAGATGGGAGTACAATTGTTTCTCTTAGTTTAGATGAGGAAAAATTCGGAGATGTTCCATTACGTCCTGGTTGGATTGAAATTCCTGAATTGGTTGGAATTTTCAAAGGATGTCTTTATCTCCTATTAGAAGCTAGCTTTGATGACTTCACCTTTTGGGTGAAGAAGGAATACGGCTGGAGAGAGTCTTGGACTAAATACAAAGGAGTCGACTTCCCTAGAACCGAGTTTGTCCTCCCATACTCTACAGTTACCTTGATGCCTTTGGATTTCTCAAATGACGAAAATGAAATTTTATTTGCAATTGGTGATAGCCAGTTTATTGTGGGTGCGTATACATTTATTTATATCTTCTATTGTATGAAGAAAATTCATTCCACATCATCAAGGATGGAGTACAGCAGAATTAGAGAAACAAATTCAAACCGAGACTTGAACCTAAGACATTGTAAACCAAAATTCCGAAACCATACTAACATATTTACAAATATAACCAAGCTTTTATTTGTAATCATATACAATATGCTTAAGGCTCACTATCACCATAAAGAAATTATTACGACGAGTTTATATTCACTAAAATCAAAATCCTGGAGCAGGATTTCAGATTTTCGTTTCTTAATTCTGTTCGTTTCAGAAGTGTTTTTGAATGGTAATTTCCACTGGTTTAATGAAGATATGTCTAAAATGGCATCTCTTAGTTTAGCTGAGGAAAAATTTGGGAATGTTCTATTACCTGAAATTATAATATTTTATCATCACAATTTAATCAGTCTATTGGGATTGTCAAAGGATGTCATGGCATCACCTTTTGGATGATTAGTCTATTGGGATTGTCAAATAAATATAGTGTTTATAAATTTGAACGGATCAGACCAGTTTTTTTTCTTCTAATTCATAGTTTGTAAATTACGACTTCATTATTTATTAATTTGTGATCCAACCACGAGATTAAAAAATCAACTCAATCCACAGGAATTAAATTTAGATTAAATCGATTTCACGGATTTGGGACCAAATGAACATCCCTACGTTTTATATCACAGGTTAAACATCCACTGCCTTTGCAACATGCCAAGTTGCAGTGCTAATTTTGTACAGTAGCATACAACATAAGTAAAGATTTCTCTTTTTATTTTTATTTACATGTGGGAATGAATAGATAAAACACCCCAATTGTGAATGGCAGTGAAGTAGTATTATTATTATTTTTTTACCAAACTAATAATTGAGGAAAGTTTTTTATTTGTTTATTTATTTATTTAGAACCGTGACAATTATTAGATAAACTACGCTTTTACAATTAAAATAATTAAATATATATATTGTATATTAATATATATATATAAATTAAAATTAAAATTAAAATTAAAATTCGCTTAGGTTGATGTCAATTGAGTTTGTGGTTTCAAATTAAAATTAGTTTTTTTTTTTTGTTTGGAATACTTTATTTTAGAGTTCTGATTTATTTGGTAACTCTTTATAGTTGGAATCCATGTAGGAAATGAAATTTGAAAACTTTATAAATAGAGAAATAGAGAAAGAAATAGATAATTGTAAAGGAAGGAAAAGTGAGTTGAATTTGGGAGAGAAAGGACGGGTGAGTTGCAGATACTTGTTCTTTGAAATACATAAATTTGGATATCTCGATTTGCTAATTTTTTCAAAGTAGTGAGTGGGTAATTCAGTCATTTCGTCAAAAACAAGATTATCCGGAGTAAAACAACGCCGTCGTACAAAGGAAACCGTTAATCTAATCCGCCGGCGGCCCATCATCATCGTCGTCCTCATTAGACTCGTAACCCCCATCTAACCCACTCTGTATGACACCCATCCCTGCCTCCGTTTTCTTACTCCAAACCATTGCATTTCATTCCAACCTAAACCAAACCCTAAACCCATACTTAATAAAACTCCAAACAACCACAAATGGGTGAGGTTAGTCCCTGATCACAAGTTTCCCAACTCTTACATTTCATTAAATTTTCATCACAATTTCAGGTACAATTAGTCGCTAAATGTTTCTTTAATTTTATTTCTGTTCCAGAAAGATGCACCAAAACGTGATGGAGAGAAGAAGGCCGACGCCGGCACCACCGTCGTCTTGAAGATTGGCATGCATTGTGAAGGCTGTGCCAAGAAAATCAAATGATCAGTTCGTCATTTTGAGGGTAACAATTTTTATATATTTGTATCAATTTATACACAAGGACACAGTATACTATATATATATATATATATATAAATGATCATCTAAATTTTTATCAATCAAGAAATTAAATCTGATTTTCAGTTATAAATGTGAAGAATGACAATCCCATTTTTCACAAGCTTTTCTGAATTTGATGCTCAAATATTTCCTAGTAGTTTTGATAAATTCAATTTTCTGAAATTTTGCTTGGTGGATCAATTCAGGTGTTGAGAGGGTGAAGGCGGACATTGAGGGCAAGAAACTGACGGTGACGGGGAAGGTGGACCCGGCCAAACTTAGAGATAGAGTGGCAGAGAAGACCAAAAGGAAGGTGGAAATCGTCTCTCCTCGGCCCAAAAAGGATGCCGCCGCTGCTGGTGGCGGTGGAGATAAGAAGCCCGAGGAAAAAACGGAGAAAAAATCTGACGACAAGAAGCCGGCAGACGATAAGAACCCGAAAGTGGTAACCTTCTAATTTGCGCCCGTGTGTCTGTTGTCATGCTCATGGCTAACATGCGCTATATGAGCCCGAGCCGTGTGGGGTTTGCAGATAGGATTCTGTCTAAATTGCGCTGGCGCATACAGCGCATGTTAGCCAATCTGAAGTATGATTTTTGTGTAATATTTTCTGTTACTATAGTACTCCCTCTGTCCCTTTTTAATTATCCGCTTACGTGAGTCACAGTTTATGAGACAGGCAATTAAAAATGAACAGAGGTAGTATTAATTTGAGCCACAAATTTGTATTACTTGTTAGTTGATGCTTATAGATTAATTTAGTTTAGTTATGAAATTTTCAACCAATTTTGTTTTATTAATTAATTATTTATTTATTTGTGGCGGTTGTATAGGCTCTCACAAGTACGGTCACTCTGAAGATTCGGTTGCATTGTGCCAAATGCACGGATAAAATAAAACGAATCATATCGAAGATCAAAGGTAAAAATTCCCAACCTTTATTTAATTTAATCAACTATGCTACATGCATATGTAATCATCTTATTTAATTGATATGAATAATAATTATCATTATTATAATGTTAATTTAATGGTTTAGTTAAGGTCAATTCCTCCGTCACATTTTAATTTGAAATAATGCATCATTAATTCTGACCTACAACACTAGTGTGGCAACTTGGTCATGTACGATAGAATTGTCGGGTCAAATATTATTGTTTTTTCATAATAGACGTCTTTTTACATTTTTTTTTTTTTTTTTAACAAATAATTCACACTCGTCTTCATATGTGGTGATTAATGGTGATTAAATGGTACCATGGATCAGGTGTAGAGTCCGTGATCGCAGAAGGCAAGAAGGAAAAAGAAGGCGGTGGTGACAAAAAAGAGAAAAAAAACGGTGGGGGTGCAAAGAAAGAAGGCGAGGCGAAGGCTGCCGGTGGTGGTGGTGATGATGCGAGCAAGAAGGAGGAGCCCAAGGTTGAGGTGAACAAAATAGAGTACCATGGGTACCACCCTCAGTACTCTTATTATGGTGCACCTGCACCTGCATATAATCATGGTTACATTAATGAGGGTTATGGCGATCTTGTACCCCAATTTAATCAAGGCTATATCAATCAGGGTTACGTCATGGAATATACCTCACACCCGACTCATGTTGTGGACTATCCATCAACATACCCGTCTCCGTATCCGACTTACGTAATGAAATATCCCTCATACCCGCCTCCATACCGGACTCATGTTGTGGACTATCCACCATCATACCCGCCTCCGTACCCGACTTACGTAATGAAATATCCCTCATACCCGCTTCCATACCCAACTCATGTTGTGGACTATCCACCATCATACCCGCCTCTGTACCCGACTCATGCCCCTCAAATGTTCAGTGACGAGAATCCTAATGCATGTTTTGTGATGTAATTCTATCCAAGTGGTGATCAGGAGGTCAATATTGTAAAAGACTACGCTACATGGGCCGAGGACTTCCTCGATGTAAATGGTCCTACCCGGGACTTTGGCTGAAGTCCCGTTAAAGAATCATTTTACACGTGTAAATAATAAAGCATATATGGAGGAAGCAATTAATTAAGTACAAGTACTATGTACATACAAAATTCGAATATATACAAGAATATATGTAGACGAGGTCCATGAGGACATTTGAAATGTCACTTGTTTGTTTCTAACTTTGGTGATTATAAATTTAATTCAATTTTGTGGTATTTATTCAATATTTCCAAATTATTATTATTATTTTTTTCACAAGATTTCCAAATCAAGATGGTGAATAATGTTGCAGCCTAGTGTTGGCACCACATGGTGTGTTTCTTTATTATGTGGTCCCTTTTAATTTTTGCCTTATTGTTTTAGTATATAAGATTTAGTTCTGGTACCGTATCATTTGAATGTGGTAGTAGTGGAGTTAGCACCATCATGTTAACCCTTGTGATTGTACTATTTCTCAAATTAATGTCACACAGGTTGTTTTTTCTTTTTTAAGGAATTATGTATATATGTCAATAGGCTAACGTGTGTGTGACCTAACTTGCGTCGATGGCATAATGGGATAGTCCAATGTAGTTTGTGGGCTTAAAATTAGGATTAATTACATTGACATTTCCTTAAATTTGATCAAATATTATACGGAAATATCTTTTTGAAATAATTTTTATTCATATTATAAATGTTTTTCGATCACATCTCAAAAATTACTTTGCCGATGTATCAAACTACTTTTTACATTGTAAAAAAAAAATATTGTTCCCGTTTGACTTTGGTTTGACAGAGTGAAGTGTTATTTGATAATAAAAATGTCATTTCTGCCCTTCATTGTTCCATATGTGATACTGCTTGACATCATGCACATTTCATATTTTTACAACTACATGCTTCATCCTAATACATAATATATTAAGCACAAGCACAGAAAGCCACATGTTTCATCATAATACATAATATATTTAATTTGGAGAACTTTTTCTAATATTATACATATATATAATACTTAAAATTTATATATAATTTATTTAATGTTAAAATATATTTAATATTCACATGCATTTTTGTTTAATGTTAATATTATTATTTAAGTAAATGAATAAATTTGAATTTAAATCTATAATTAAATTTAAAAACATGAAGTTGAATATTATAATTAAAAAAATTGTTAACATATATATTTAAATATATATATTTAAAAATAAAAATAAAATTTATTTAATGTTAACATTATCTGATGCAATTCATGTTTGAATACCACATCATCAACAGAGAACAAAAAAAGTCACTTGAAAATATTCAAGTAAGAACTAACAAATCTGAGTTAAATCAAGTAAGAAATATTATTTTATATGGCATGAACAGAACAAAGTAAAACAAATTAAATTATATTTATCAAAAAAAGAGTAAACTAAATTATTGAATTAGTAACGTATTATACATCGAGCCCATGATCATGAATGATATCAATTTCATCAATTAATTAAGGAATAATGTAAATATGATTTATTGAGTATATAGATACCTGGTGTACTAGCTACTCTTTGTTTTTTTTTTTTTTTGGTTAGTAAGAAACCCATTTTATCATGAAGTGAAGGTATCAAAAGAAGAAGATGGACCATGGGTGATAAGAATTTTACTTGAAAATATATATCTTTGATTCGTGAATTAGCTTGCTATGAGATTATTACATTTGTAAATGTATATAAATGAAACCTTGTTTTTTTTAGAGGGGAGAGAGAGAAGGGAAATGGAAAAGGCGAGGCCCCATCTAGCAGCCCCCCTTGGGCAGATTGTTAAGAGAGAGAGGGGGGTGAGTGCAGTTGGTAGGAGTAATAAAGAGGGCTAAATTGGTCATTTAAGTTATAAAATATTTCGGAATAAATGAAATTAAAAAATTAGGGATGAAGTTGTTTTTCTGTACGTTTTTAACTGTGTCGGTGACGAAAAAATAAAATTGTACACAAGTGAAAGCTATTTTCGAAACATACTTCAGTGTGATATTTGGTCAAAAGATATTTCTGTAATATTTGGCCAAAATTAGTGGGATTGAACTCAATGCACTCCTCTCTCTTATATATATATATATATATATTCAAATTTATATATAGAGGTAATAATATTCTTATAATTTTTTTTAAAATGATTCTTACACCTATTAATTACAATAAATTATTAAATATTTTATTTTAATTGTCCAATTATACAACAAATAAAGAAGTTGAATCCTTCATTTAGTTATTTGGTATAAATAACCAATTAAAAAATAAGTCAGTGTTCGGTGTGAGTATCATGTAAGTAGAATTTATATAACTTTTTATTGTTATTATTTCAACTTAGTACATGCATTGGTGTCTTTTAAATCCACTGTTATGCCCACTATTAAATCTCTATATTGGTTGATGTATAATAATAGAAGGAAATGATTTTTTTCATAAAAATATAATATATAAGAAAATAAAAATTTGGAGCTTTCCTATTGGTTGAAAATAAAATTTGAAGCCTTCCTATCGGTTTGGGGACTGTTTAGTGGCTAACACTTTGTTTGGAACCAATTTTTTTGGGATTTAAAATTAGAATGGAAAAGGAATTACAATATAATTAAAAAAATAAAAAATTGTACCATTTGTAACCGATGGACGCGTGTATAATAATAATGCCTATATGCATCAACTGGCCAATTGACCAAACCTAGAAGAAAAAAACAGAAAAAAAAGGAAAAAGAAAAACCACAAAACATTCCGCCATTAATAGAGTAATTACATAAAACTAATAGATAGGAAATATCCAAAGTTGGAGTAAAATACAATTTCAAATAAAAAAGCAAAGACTGGTCCGTTGTAGTCTGTAGATAATGAGAATTGGAGAAAAGAACCATGAAAAGATGAGGGTTTTTTTAGATACATAAAAAAAATTTTTTAAAAAAAAAAAAAAAAATGTGTAAGTTTTCAAATTCCCTCAAATCCTTGAATCCTTCCGGTCCAAACATATGAAATTTCTTTCCAAATTTAATTCCAACGAAATCCTCCCATTCCAAAAACGGCGTAAGAAAATCTTTTTATTAAAACCAAGTTTATTAAATAAGGAATGGTTGGATCCGTAATGTGTTGATTCATACTAATGAGACCAAGAAGAAATTTAATACTGTACACTTGTAGACACAGAGCTGCTTAGTTGAGCCGGGGAGGGAGAAAGTTGGGTTGGTCCAATCCATGCGTGTGTTGACCAAGTGGGCCCAAGCCCACATACTTTTAGTGAAGCAAAACAGAAGACAGTCAAGCAAGGGTTTTGTATCATCATCAGGTCGGCGCTAGAGAGAGAAACTGAAGCAAGCAGCACAAAATGGTGTTGGGAGGAGAGAGAAAGGTAGACCGGTAGATCGGACGCTGACCGTTGCTTCAATCTGGTGGTTATTCCCGGCGACGAACTCTAGACATCTACTAGTTGAGGAGGTATGGCTAAGAAGACGAAGAGGGTGAAGCGAGACGAGTTATCACCAACCCTCCCGAACGAGGTCATGGTCGAAATACTATCAAGACTACCTGTGAAGTCTATTGTACGATTTACGTTTGTATCCAAGTTTTGGCTCACTATGTTCGCAGATTCTCACTTTGTCAAGCTTCACCTCACACGCTCCAACAACTATAAACTCGTCCTCACACATTCGTTTACCGTTGAGAGAATTTTATTAAGGGTTGACATAGTATAGATTACCGAATATGTTTTATAAATAACTTTAAAAAATTAAATTATAATTTATGCGCCTGTCTATTCTCATAACTGACGACAATGATTTTTGATTTGAAAGCTCGGATGGGCCGATTAAAATAACTTGCTCGCACCTTCTTTGGAATGTTCTTTTGATTAAGCAAAGTTACAAAGTAGTTATGATTTTAATTAATTAATGGAATAACCTAGGTTGTTAAGGCGGTAGTTGTTAACTAAACAAAAAAAGCCTCAACGTTCAAGTAAAAATAAAAAATAGAAAAAGGAAAAAAAAACAAAAAAACAAAAAATTGGTTTTGTTATTGTTGTAATATATATATATATATATATATATATATATATATATATATATATATATATATATATATATATATATATATGCACTTTTCAGGTTGGAATGCAAATTGATGGCCTCCAATACAAGTCTTCTCACTGGCCTCAAGACATACGAGAAACCCTATGATTGATTTAAGCACAAATTTCGGTTTTGATATAAATTGATAATGAAGCTTTTTAATTTAGTGGATGATCAAGTAATGTTATAGAGAACGACTAAATAGGGTAATCAGAGTAGAGTTTTCAGATTAAATAGGGTAGATTTCTCAAACCAATTCAACAATAACCATTGAACGCATTTACGGGACTTCACACAATTGTTGTAGTTGAAAAAGTCTAGAAAATAAATTTTATTTATTTATTTCAAAATATTTTTTTCCCACCCAATAATATGCGCTTTTTGAAACATTGAACTTAAAAGAAGAAATTAAGAAAATAAAAATGAAATTTGTAAAATTGATCGACTTTCTGTGTATAATTTGAATAGATTTTCACCAAGAAATAATGCATGGTTAACTTCATATTGGATAATATAATGCCTAGTCCGTGTTATGATAACTTTGCTTTTAGCTCATGCTAATCTGAAAATTTTTACTGGCACCAACAATAGGCAAAATAAATAACCCTAATCTTACACGACTTCACACAATTCTTCGGGTTTGATATTGTTGCTAAAGCAGATTGTAAGACTTGGGTGAAACAATGGTCTCCAAACAAGTTACTGCTTCATCCCATTGATCCCAAAATAGGGGAACACTGTAAAACTCCACACGCCTATGTGTTTTCTCTCTTAGATTGCACATAACAAGCTCTGTACGACCAATTGCAAATAAGTCTACATCACCATCATCGTTTGGGAA